GTCGGTGGTTTTCTTTCAATGACTAATACAATATGAAGAGACACACATACATGTTATTAGTATATTTTTTCCTTTAGAATGTGCTGTATTGCAGCAGAAGAACTGTAAATGTTCAGCCATGTGAAACGATTTCAGTCTGCTCATGCATTTATTTTTCTTTTGTGAGAGACAACTACTTTTATTTTGGCATTGGTGATCAAAACCAAATCCACACACATTTTAGACAAGTGCTCTACTTTAGAGATAAGCCCTCAATCAGGAAGTACTCATTTATAAAATATTTGAACTTAGAATTAGGAAAGTTAATTGGTTTTCTTTCAAGTAAATTGATGAATGTGTACATTTTTATTGGCTCTGTATTCTAAAACTATAAACCAGTTCAAAAATGGTTTCTGACACTCCACTGTTGTCTCCAATTTATTTTGTGAGATAGATAGATAGATAGATAGATAGATAGATAGATAGATAGATATTTTAGGGTGAAGATCCATACTCTACAGTCTTACTGGAAGTGTAGCTCTTAGAGAGTTAGTGGCAGAGTACAGATGGTGAAGCCCAAGGGCAGATGAAGATTTCTAGGTTCAGGAACATCTGGTCGTGAGTTGTTGTCCTCTTCCTTTGCCCTTGTCCCTTGTGGATCAGTATTAAATATGGCTTAGCTTTTTCTAGGCAGTGAGATGGGCTTTCTCTAAGTGGATACTGGGTCCCTTCCAGGTTCCTGACCTCCTTGTACTGAGTGTGATATGAGTTGATAGATCAAAAATATGGGGACGGTAATGGGCTAAAGAGTCCAGAAAGACATTAGCAGAGGATATCACACAGTGTTGCGAATTAAACCTGGTGTGTTCAGTAGATCGCCTTAGTCATGCAGGGCAGGAAGAGGAGCAGGGTCAGGAGCATGCATTTGGGGTCTGTTTCTGTTTCACACAGTCTAACCCCTGAACCTGACAATCCTGTTACTGCTTCCTAAGCCGGTTATGTGTGTGTGTGTGTGTGTGTGTGTGTGTGTATATATATATATATATATGTTACTTTTAATAGTTTATGGCTCACCTTATCATTACTTGAACTTCATATGAATAAAGAAATTCTCTTAGATTTTTCCCGAGTATGATTTAGTTTGTATTAAATACATACTCATGTATATATTTTAACAGTGTCTGTATCTTATAGAATGTTTATTATGCAATGGGGAGTTTTGCAGCATTCAGAGGTCTCTGAATTTGGAAAAGACTTTTAATAACAAGTACACTTTCTAGTGCTTTTTTTCATATGATTTAATATATGATACGTGTCTTGCACTCATTACAGAGTCTGTTGTTTCTGATGCTTTGCTTTAAAATTCGGTTACTAAACTGCTCCTGTCCAAGGGAATATGAAAACTGTACAAGATAACACTTAGATGATACGCTTCTAAAGATGTGTATTCTGAAATTAGATTTAAGCTTATTGAGCTAGTAGGCTTTTATAAAATCAACATTTTGTTTTGGGAATTTTGTGTCATCAATATATTCATGTGAGGTAAATGTCATCAAATATATCCATTCAGTTATTGTTGTCATAACTATATCTTCCACTTGAGAAGATATTTGGAGGAAACCTGAAACTGTAAAATACTTCCTCCATGTTAATGGTGTCTTATAAAAATTGAGAGTAATTTGGTTTGATTAAACTCTGCCTCATTAGATTTTAATGTGCTTTGTGTTATGTGTTTCAGAAACTCCAGAAAGGAACTTAATGACATACGGTTTGAGTTTACTCCAGGAAGAGGCAAGTTTTAATTGAAATTATTATTTTGGTGGAACAAGAAACAAATGAGAAATTGATTATAAGTGTATGGTTGTAATTTGCTATTCAAAAATGTTTTGTCTATAGACAGAGGAAAGAACTTGTTAATTGTCTAGAGTCTAAACTACTACTCTCTATATGAATCCCAGAGGCACATGTGGCATAGTGTACATACACAAGTAAATTAGATATATTAGCTTAACCAGGAAAATGTACATGGACTGGTAATGCAGCTTTTAATGGAAGTGACAGTGAGTGTTACTCTACAAGGTAACGGACTCTGCCTCTCATATGGCCTCCATGTAATTTGAATATCTCAGGTATGTTACTTCAGCTGCTTAATGGCTTGACTGCTTGTTAGCACGTCTCCTGGATGCCAGAAGACAAGGCCATGTATTCTTTTTATCTTTTCTTAGCTTTTGCAGCAGGCATAGAGCCTGGACATGCAGAAGAACATCAAGAAACCTTGATTAATAGATATGTAGCACAAGGAAAAATATAGGTACATCATTTACTGTATAACCTCAATACTCCAGAGCAGTAAAAATTAGATGCTAATACATGCTAAGCTTGTAGCTATTTTCCATGGCCTGTGGCTTCTCTGTTTTATGTACATGTAAAGAGTCTCCTCAGGGTCTACCCTGAATACCTTTGTAAAGTCCAGTGGTCTCCTGCATTCTGACAGTGTCCGTAAGTTCATAGCTCCATGTTCGTTCTATGTATTAGAGCTCTACATAAATTTCAGCTCCATTAAGTGGAGTTGTTAAACCTTTAAAAGTCAAAAGAGCAAGGACTCACTTGGCTTGAGAACTAGGCAGACAGTAAACTGCCCTGGCCTCTTTTCTGTTCTCACCTATGAGAAGACACTGGCTCAGCTGCCTGGAGGAGCCAGAGTGAATGACAGGCACTTCAGGAATTTGGTGTGTCCTGTCTATATACATGCATGAGAAGTTGTTTTTTTTTTTTTAAGTACTGCCAATCAAATAAATTACGCTCCTAGACCTTAAGTGTTTGTGGTCCCAGATTTACTCCAGTCCTGATCGTGTGTCCTCTGTAAAGGCAAAGATTAGAGATTCCCTGAATATTTGGATTAGATAAAAATATGAAGTATCTTCTGCAAAATAAATACCATGGGCCCTAATGAGCTGGCTAACTAGGTTTTCTTTTCAAGTGTGTCCATCTTTAATAATTTTAGATTGGTCTGTGAGATTATACAACAGCAGTCACAATATCAAAAGGCCATCCATTTTGTCATAATATAAACATATTGACCAGGCAATGTTGTGAATAAGATCTGCTAATTATATAATAGATGTTTCAAGTACAAGAAGGAGCAGATTCTTACAGTGAGCTTGCTTCTTTTCATCCAGTTGTTTAAAATTGACTACAGCAATGAAAATCAATTTTAATTTTAAGAACAAACAGAGGAATGGATTTCCATCTTGAGGATTTGCGTGGACAAGCTGGTCCCATGATCACTGGCACATTTGCACCAGGGCAGCCTCCTTTGCCAGGGATTGATGAACAGTCTCTACTTCTGTTGCCCCATGGAAGCCATAGCAGAGACTTGTCTAGTAATTGTCCTTTACTGGAAAGCAACACAGGCCTGTTAGTACTGGTCGCACTGTCTGTGTCATTCCTGGTGCTTCCGGCTTTCCAGGCATTGTCTGTGATACATCCGTGCATATACACGTCATGTGCATTCCGTTTATGCTATCTATAGGCATAGTTGTGTATGGCATAAGACATGGGCACACAGACGGGCGCCAATCTCTGTTGTCTTTTGAAGACACACTCTTTTAATTACTATATTGTTGTAAACTCTGGAAAGTAGATGCTAAGATGTAGTATTTTGACCTGTTTAGCATCAACATGGAGCAAAAAAAAAATTCTAGGAAACTTGAAATAATCATTTCATATTTCTGGTCTAAATTATTACAGGTGTCTTTACTTGCTTGTGTAGAAAAGTGACCTCTGAATGCCATACCCAGAAACAGAGTAGTTCCTGTCTTGTCCAGCTAGAGCTAGTCATTTGCCACTTTGATATGATTCATCTGGTGCCCAGGAGACCTGAAAATAGGACATGCTATCCAATTTAATCACCAGGGAGTGGCTACCACTCTGGCACTGGTTTAAGTGCCAGCTCTTGGTGTAGCTGTACTTGACATGCCCCTTTTCAGCTATCCTGAGAGGGTAAGAAATGTAAGATTCAGATCTTCTAGCTTCTGGCTAGTCACTCGCAGCATAAATGACTTCCTACTACAAGCCTGTCGCTCAGCACCTTCGTTAAAAGGGCTTCCTGTCTTGGAGATCTGGTTGATCTCCAGGAAGACAGAGATTCTGAGTGCCAGCAGCTTCAGAAAGTGAGTCACTCTTAGAACATAACCATTTAGTGATCTATCCTCAGGTCCCCTCCTGTGGAATCAATCCATGAGAGACTTTTATAAACTTTAATTTTGACCTTTGTCAGAAGGAAGAGGTCCAAGACAAGTTTACCGTGTGTGGAGTTCACTGTTTAGTAAGCTTCCCATGCAATCCCTTTCATCCACTTCCGTTTGTTGCATCCCATTATGAAATGGGAGAAAAACACAACCCTCGGAAGCATCAAGTATATACATTGAATTTTTGTCGTTTCTGGAGATTGAGCAGAGGAGACAAGCAGTGCACCATGGTGTACAAGTGTGGGATGTCCTTTGGTGTGGCTGTGCCATCACCACAACCACTGATTGTATTCTTAGTGTCACACACCAGGTAAAATACTTTACAATCCCCCAAACCGTGGGAAGCAGGTCCCATGCATGTATGTGTGTGTATATAGCACACATACGTAGAGTAGTGTATATGTACACATACCTACTCTGGAAGCTCATTTAAATAGTCGCCACAGCTGGTTTATGCTGAGGGTAGACTTCTGAAGTCCTGCTTCGATGTTTGCTTGATGAGGCTATTGGGTGTTTCTTGATTTTGGGAAACACTTAGCATGCTATTTGTAGCTAGTGCTACTGGGTGACCATTAGAACATCTGAAGGCCATGGAGACCAAACTCTCTCCTTTATTATAACACAAAGTTCTGTAATAGTTCTTTTGAGCATATTTCAATATGCTCATTTCAATATGCCATTCCTCCTTGAAAATTCTTTAGATAAAAGTTTGCAGTGTTACCATGCTCATTCATAACCTCTCAAGTAATCTTGGCTGTACTCACTCACTCACGTGCTACAAGCCTGTTCAGTCCCGTCTTTATGAGATTGCCAACTCCTGTCACTTACCACTGAGAAACTACATTAATTTACCCAGCCACACTTTCTAAGGGAATGAATCTGTTGCTATCAAATGATCAATGTTGTGTTAGAGGAGTTTCTTAATGGCACACGTTTAAATAGTTCATCTTAATAGTCCAGCAAGCCCACGGGCCACGTGTACCAAGTCTAAGGTTGTATCAGATCCTACCCATTCAACCTTTGCTATAAATTTTCAACTCCACAGCGACGAGTGATTGAAAGGGATTGATGGCAGCTGGAATTAACCTTGGCAAGAGAGGAAAGCAATGTCATGACGAGCACTTAGGTCTTCCAGCGTGTACTAAGGGATTAATTCAGATGGTGGCCGGAGAGGAAGGTTTTTGGTTTGCCAAAGTGAAATATCTTTACAGTAACATCTATTAAATAAAAACAAAACAAAACAAAACACAAACTACGTGTGAGAAAATGCACCTCATGGGGTTTCTGATATTTTTTCCCCTTAACAGGATCTGAATTCATGGATTAAAGTCATGGGGGTGATTTTAGTAAATGAAATATGTATTTTTGTATTGGGCTGGGCTTTTGATGTTTATATTCTGGTTTCTAATACGTATTCATCTCACATTTGGACAGATACAGCAGATGGTGTGTCTCAGGAGCTCTTCTCTGCTGGCTTGGTTGACGGTCATGATGTAGTTATAGGTAAATTGATTTTTAGTATGCAGTATCATTTTGTTGATATGACAAATGGAAATGTGTTTAGAAGCAAAATCTTTCATTAAGGAATAATTCACTCTGAAATGTGAAACAGAATCTTCATAAATTCTTAGGTCTATGTGAAATTGCATTAAGAATCATATTTAATTTTCTCAAAGGTGTCTCCTGTATTTCCCTCCCCTTTATGTAAACATGATTTACCCATTGAGCTATTATAAATACCACAGAGAAAAAATCACATTGTAGTTCTGCGTTTAGGTTGGAGCAGGCCTTAAAGATCATTCAGTCCAGTTCGTTTATTGTACAGGTAAGGAAACAGATTCTTAGTAAAGTTTTGTGTTTCTCAAACCCATGCAGTGGGGTGTGCAATCCCTAGACTTTGAAACCCTGGGTCTTTCTACCATCTCTTTTTTTTCCTAAATAAAATAAATACACCTGCACATAGTTAGGGACGCTAACGTGGACCATATGTGCTGATAGAGCAAGCGGTCACAGGAAGATCTGTCAAGGACTGGGAGGTAAGAAGTCCCTTAGCGTCACTTGGAAAAGCCTGGTGCGATTGCCTCTGCTCGTTCAACAGCTCCATGCTCCCTTGGAAACAATGAGTCTATGAGGCTTTTAAAATGTGGACTGTCACTGTGTATTCCTAATAATGATTGAGTGATGAGGTTACTTAATATGTGAATGATAAAACACTGAATTAATTGTAATAACATTAATAAAAATATATTAAGGTATTCAAAAATAATCTTCAAAATATTATTCAAAAATAGTAATGATTAAAATTTTGCATTGTTTGTTTTGTTGGAATTGTATCCATTTTTGAGACAGGATATCTGTCTGTGTAGCCCAGGCTGTCCTGGAATTCGCCATGTAATCCAGGCTGGCCCCAAACTCAGAGATCTGCCTGCCTCTGCCTCCCCAGCGCTGGGATTAAAGGTGTGCACCATCATACTCAGTTCCCTATTCCGCTTTTTAATAAAGAATTCAGTTATTCTAAATAAGTCTTTACTCAATGATGGTGGACTTTATGACTCAGGGAATTTGGGGTAGATTACCAAGCACAACTATCAGAATTGGCTTCTAGAAACCTGTTAATACAGATCATTGAAAAGTAAATTTCTGTATTTTATTTAAATGAGGACTCACTGGGTTACAGCACAACTTATAATTCTGGCTAAAACTCCAGTATCACTGTCCTATATAAACAAATGGCATGACAAATGCATAATAGGAAAAATAAATTCCTTTGCATTAATTATAGGCGAAGTGTAAACAGTTAAATCTCTCGTTCCTTTGTCAGGTAGTGAGTACATAAGGAGACGTACCATGTTCTAAAATTTACATACATACATGTACATATTTACGTATGCAGGTGCTTGCATCCCCTCAGCCACCTTTATCTTTCAGACTTTCCTTTATGGTCCTGTTAGGACTCTTGGCCAGCTGAGTTCTTGCCTGTTTTCTTAGACTGTAAAGTGAAGACTCAGAAAGAAACATCAAGCCAACTTTAGGTATTTTTTTTAAAAGTTCACCTCTGACTTCTTTCCCTAAACCTTCCAGTTCCTTGTTTAGAAAAATCAAAAGCCATTCCTTTGTTTCTTAGTTTACCCAAAGAAAGAATCAGAATAGTTAATGCCAAAGTCAGGATGTATTGAAATATCCATATTCTTGAAGAGAACTGTGTTCCATGTACTAAGCAGACAGAATTAAAAATCAGTTGCTCAAGTGCAAGTGAAGTTTAAGACTCTTTAAATACCCACTGATGCACCCCTGTAGGAATAAAATAAAGAATGGACTTGTTGGGGGAAGGGGTAGTTTCTGTCCTTTGTTTTCACTTACTATAGCAAGAGGTGACACATTGAAACATTAACCACAGGGCTGATGCTGCACCTCAGCGCCTCAGATACAGAGGTTAGGAGGTTACAGGCATCCACTGTAGGCTGATGGTCCAGTCATTTCTGTGAGGTAAAGGGCAGGTTGATGTAGTCACTGTTGTATGGATAAACTTGAGATCAGATGAAGTCCAGAGGATGTAACTGCAGTCCTTGGCGATGGGGCTTCCTGACTCTGAGAGCTTGTCCAAGCATTTTTAGACAATCTCAGAAAGTGCCGCTTCCTGTGCACTTGTAGGAAACAAACAAACTCATTGTTTTCCCAAAGCAGTAGATATCATTTTATATTTTAGTTGTTGATTATTGAACAGATGAAATATCAGTGTCCATGTCCCCACTAACCAGTCTCAGGAGTTCTCTGCTGTCTCCCTTGTCCTCCCGCTA